GCGGAATTTTTTTTCTTCTATTCATTGATTTTTTAAATGAAGTTTAAGTCTCTGTCTATCCGAAACCCCAATGCCATTTGAGTCACGACGCGGTGGAATCAGGCTCTCGTCAATTTTGGGGCAAGTGGAGTTATTGGTATCATCTTGAAGCTTGTTTATTTGCCTTGCTTTGGATTTTAAAAAAGATCCATTTATCTTGAAGAGAAGTCAAGATATTTGCGAATGAAGGAGGTGGGGGTCACCTGGTTTCAGAGGTAAAATTAGTGAGAAAAGAGCCGCCAACGATGTGTTATTTCCTTAGCTTGAGAGTCCGTGGAAACTGAAAATTAACATTTTTGTGCCTTTAATAGATGTTTTTCAGTATAGTCCATACAAAAGTGTGCATTTTAATGGGCATGGAAAGTGTTGAGCCAAAAAACAAAAATGTGATAAAAATTCACAAAATCTACGCAAAATGCCAGTTTCTTTACTTTGATTACTTTGACGAGCGCCTGATTTCACCACGCTGCCTCACATTTGATCATTGTCAGCCGAGAAAGATGGCAGGTGTAACTCAACATCAAAAAATATTGAACCATCGGCACGCTCCGAACGTCTCAGCTGTTGCCAGGACATTCAACGCTACATACAATGTCCTACTTTCTTTTTTTTTTTTCTCCTCGACAATACACTACCTCAGAATCACAACGTTCTAAGTGATATTTTTGGCCGTTTTGAGTTACTAAGACCATGAGGTCAGGAACCAAATGTTTTCCCTGCTCTATTAAAAATTTTAAATTCGAAGTCGTTATCAAGATATTTCAAGGAATTGCATTCGAAAAAGATTGACATGATCTGAAACTCAGAATATTTGACATCAAATTTGTCAGAACTAGGTACTGGGCAGTTAGAACTTTGTAATTCTGATGTAGCGAGCTATAGGTGGCCGACTTTGACTGTATATCCAACATATTTTAAACATCTAGCTCTCTCTGGCAAAATTGAAGGCAAACGAGGAAGGTGTAGACCAGGGCAACCTACTTCGATAACGTAAACAGAAGGATAACGGGGAAAGATCAGGGTAAAGTAGATTTTTAGGAGCATCTGAGCAAAGGAATGAATGGAGAACCATGATCGCCGATGTCTGTCGCAGATTAGGCTTTTGATGGTGATGCTGATCCAACACTTACATTATAAAAAGACTTACTTTATAGATTATTTAGTATTACTAACGAGAAAGTAAAAGCCTAGAGACTCAAAAGGCTACATCTAGATTTTTTTAAGCGAACAAAAAGTCACTAGATTCTACCTCAGAATTAGAAAGTTCTATCTGCTCAGTAGGCCTAGATTCTAGATGTAGCAAGTTTTGGGAAATTTGACGTTAAAGATTTTCAGTTTCACAACAAGTCAAACTTTTTTTATTGCAGTTCCTTGAATATCTTGATAATGGAGACGATGAAAAATGGCGGACCTACTTTTGATTTAATTGGCTCTGTCGTAAAATTTCACACAAAAATTCTGTGAAAACGGGAAAAGGAGAAACAAAATATACACAAAATAGTTAGCATTTACTTAACAAAGATTACATTGATTTATGAATTAACAAGATATCCAATCAAAATTGGCTTTAAAACGAGTTGGAACAACACTGTTTAGGCGGGCGGCCGACTTGTCCAGACGGCCGGGATGCCCAGACAGTACTGTAGATTTAGATCTAGCGGAAGGTGACCGGCTGAAAGAAATGTGACGATATATCCAACGCTCACACAAGATAACCTTCTTTACAGACTGCTTATTAATTTTACTCACGTGAAGGGGAAAGCGAAGGCTTAAAAAAGATAACCTTCTTTACAGACTACTTATTAACATTACTCACATGAAAGGGAAAGCGTGAAGACTCAAAAGACTAGATTTTTAAGTTATATAAAAAGTTCTTTTGATCACTGGAATAGCATTAGAATCTCTATGTCTTTGGAAGTAGAACCTTCCGCCATCTTGGATCTCATTCAGCAGACCGTGTTAGGCTATTGCGTTCAGTATTGGTGTGGTCCAGTGCGCTGAACGTGTCTCGTCAATATCGCGAAGTGTACAGGCACTATATCATAGCCAGCCTTGCCAGATGTTTACTATAGCCATATATTTATCATAGTCATAGATTTATCGTGGCTTTAGATTTATTATAGCCATAGGCGTATCATAGTCATAGATTTATCATTTCCATACATTTGCCATTGCCATACATTTATCATTGCCATACATTTATCATCCATTTATCATTACCATACAATTGTCATTGCCATACATTTATCATACATTTATCATTGCCATAGATTTATCACTGCTATACATTTATCATTGCCATAGATTTATCACTGCCATACATTTATCATTGCCATAGATTTATCATTGCTCTTGATTTATCATTTCCATAAATTTGTTATTGCCATACACTTATCACTGCCATACATTTATCATTGCCATACATTTATTATACATTTATCATTGCCATAGATTTATCACTGCCATACATTTATCATTGCCATAGATTTATCATTGCTATAGATTTATCATTTCCATAAATTTGTTATTGCCATACATTTATCATGGCCATACATTTATCATACATTTACCATTGCCGTACAATTATCATTGCCATACATTTATCATACATTTACCATTGTCATACAATTATCATTGCCATTCATTTATCATACATTTATCATTTCCATAGATTTATCACTGCCATACAGTTATCATTGCAATATATTTACCGCTGCAATACGTTTGGCATTGCCATAGACTTATCATGGTCATAGATGCATCATTGTCATAGATTTATTATAGCCATTGATTTATTTATTACAGTCAAAAATTTATCATAGACCTAGCCTTGTATTATGGTCTTGCATTATGGCCTAATTCCTGTGAAGAAGAAGAAGAAGAAGAAGAAGAAGAAGAAGAAGAAGAAGAAGAAGAAGAAGAAGAAGAAGAAGAAGAAGAAGAAGAAGAAGAAGAAGAAGAA